AGAGAGAGAGAGAGAGAGAGAGAGAGAGAGAGAGAGAGAGAGAGAGAACTTTTGCTTGTTTGGGGAAAGCCTTTAGCTTTCCATGATGTTATAACCCTTTTGAAATTCTGCTGAACCATTTGCCAAGGTGGACTTATTTATATTTCTCAATGCTTTAGCACCTTGCAGGGGCCAGGCTCTCGTTAATTCAGACATCAACAATATATATGCAAGGACTGAAAATGAATGAACTTCTCTAGGACCTGTTTCCTAGTCCCACATGGGAAAGACAGAAACTTGCCAACATATTAGTAAGCCTGTCAAAACTACCTATTAAACGGCAATCAGGTGTCAGGCACTGGGGATAAAAAGAGAGAAATGTGAGTCCCTGCCCTCAAAAAGCTTACAGTCTAGCAGTGTGTCGATGGACATGATACACCAGGTCTCCTCAGTAAAGATGGGAAACCTTGCAGATAGTGTAGATAAGTCCCTTTACCCAGGAATGTATTCAGAATCCTTGGGCCACTGTTTTAGAGCCCAGAGAAAGTAGCAGGATCAAAGGTTTAGAGATCAAGGATGCCTTAGGGTAGAGGTGTCAAATGCAGGGCCCTTGGGCTGTATGGGGTGTACAACCCTCCTAATTGCAGCAAGAATCAGATTAAAATGTAATTGGGGAAAATTTAACAAAATCAATAAAAATATATAACATAGAAAACATGACATTTTAAAACTAAGGCTAGCCATGATCCTAACATTCATATTGGTGACCCCCTTCTCTGTTAGAGTTTGCTTTAGAGGCAAACTGCCCAGAAGACATCTAATCCAACTGCCTCATTTTTACAGATGAGGAAACTGAGGCCCAGGGGAAGTGACTCTCCCAAGGTCACACAGAAGTGGAATTTGAACTCATTTCCTCTGCCTCATGGGACCGGGCTCTTTCTCCTGTGATACAAGATGAGAAGACACAGCAAACACCATTCAGAGTTGGGATCAGAGTTGAGAATTTGATTACCCCTGCCCACCTCAACATCCTCTTCCCCCACCTACCTTGGCACCTAAACTCATACTTCAATAGTCTGAGGACCCATCATTTTCTTGGCCACGTACTTCATCTCTGCCCACACGTCTGAGGCCACTGTGTCTTGGGAGAGTAAGAGTCTATAGCCATACTATGGTGCTCATTACCACTCAGCCCAACTGGTGAGGAACTTCTCCAAAGCCAGTGTGCCTCGTCCTTCTCAAGGCTGACCATGAGGCTTGGCCGGCCCTTTGAGAGCTAGGCTCCATTGGCACAGATTTTGGGGGGACACAGAAGTATCTCCTCCACACCATGAGTATGGGCAGGGTTTAGTATAGACCCGACACAAACATTTCCTGACTGTTCAGACTTTCTTGTACATATTCTCAAGGAGACGAGGCCCCAGATCCCCAACTGGACCTTCTTCTTCCTCCACTTTCACAGTTGTCTCAGAGCATCCCATGTCAATAAGAGGTGTCAGACAGGGAAACAGCTGAAATCCACCTGGGCTGGTGGCCCACTTCCGACTCCAGCTTAAACGCTGAGGTGTCCTTCTTCTTGGTCAACTAAGCTGAGGATTTTTTCCTCCTTTTGTTCCGGTCCAGTACAAATATTTGCCTATTGGGAAATACACAACTCCTTCTCCTCTTGTACCAGCCATCTGCTGAGAAAGGACCAACGCCCACCTGCAGGGAGACGGATCTAGGGGAGTATCCTGTTTCTTCAGGCACCTCATTCAAGACAGCTGATGTTAAGTGCCCGGATTTGTTTGAGCTGCTGGGCACTAAGATTAAGACCGATAAACTCCCCAAAGGGAAGTGGAATTTGTTGGTGGCCATGAAGATTATTCTAAAATTCTTTCAGGGGAAACCTTTCACGTAGATGGGGGATGGGGCTAAAACACCTTCAGCTTGGTGTGTTATTGAGGAGTCAATGAATCAGAGCAGGAAAGTACCCTTAAAACCATCTCAGGCATTCCTTTGTTTTACAAATAAGGAAACTGAGGTCCACAGAGATCACCTGATGCACAAAGTTACCTGCATAGGAATTGAATCTATGTCCCAAGATCATAGATTTAGAGCAGGAAGATGCCTTAGAGGTCACTTTGTTCAGCTCCTTTACTTTGCAGATGAGGAAACTCAGACCCAGAGGTGAAAATGCTCACTCAAGGTCACACAGATTTTAAAAAAAATCATCTGACTCCAAACACGTTGGTCTTTTCATGAGACCACACTAATTTCTCCCCTATGATCTCGAGAAATTTCTAAGAGGGATAGAAAACATTTGTCCTTGACTGTGTCCAGTAGTGGTAGGAATGAAAGCAAGCTAAGAGAGCTAGGTTAGGGCTGCTCCCCAGGGGAGAGGTCCTGGGCAGAGAGGAGGGAGTGGAGGGAGGGAGATGCTGGTTTTGTCTGTTGAGACGCTATCTCCTATCTAACACAGGCACAGAATTCACAATCCTCTCTGGTGTGCCCGAGCTCTCTTGGCTTAGCATGGAGTTCTTGGAATAGAGAAAGTTAATCTGTGTGGGAAGGGCAAGCCCATTGTTTCCACCTGAACCCTTCAGGTTTCCTTTTAAAGCAACAGTCCACAGGTCCCAGGTCTGCCCTTGGATTGTAGATCCATCCTTTTGAAGTTAACTGCCTGCCTTAAAGCAGGTAGGTGGTGCAGTGGATAGAACACTTGGCCCTGAGTCAGGAAGATCCAAGTTCAAAATGGCTTCAGACTCTTACTCACTTCATGACCCTGGGCAAGTCAATTAACCCTATTTGCCTTGGTTCCTCATCTGTAAAGTCAATTGGAGAAGGAAACGGTAAACCTCTCCAGTATCTTTGCCAAGGAAACCCCAGAGCGGGTCACGAAGAGTCAGAGACTGAACAAGCCTGCCTCGAACACTGCCCTTGCTCGTCTCTGAAAAAGACTCTCATTGGAAACACGATTAATCTCAGGTCCTCTATTTCTTGGATTTGGGTGGTTTTAAAACAATGATGCTCAGTTCTTAGGCTAACACACTGATTTCATTTGAGCTGCAGACTGCTGATAATTCTTCCAAGGCCTGACCCAAATTGAACTGTCTCTAAAAGGCTGCTCAGGAGGATGATTGTATTACATACTTGGAAAGAAAATCCAGAAATGCAGACCCATTGAAGTGTGCTGCTCACTTGGGGCACTTTATTTTAGCTGTTGTTTCGCCAGATGATAATTAGGGCTCCAAACAATCTCGGCAGGCCAGAATGCTGGTGGAACTTGAGAAGAAAACAGGTAGCTAATAGGGGTAAGGTACTGTCTTATGGATGTGCATGGCTGGACAGCAGCTTGTCTTGAAGATTGGCAGGCTTTATCTTCTTGTGAGGCTGGTTTTTAAAAACCCAAATATAAGCTTACGCTTATCTTTATAAATTTGTTTCATTAGGTTCAGGCCAATGGTTTAGGTTTTCAATGTCTTTTTGGATGCTAACTGTTTCTCCAACATGTTGGTTTCCCCTCCATCCCAGCCTTGTGTCACCTACAGATTGCTCAATATCTTCTTCTCAGTTCCCCCATCCAAGCTCCTGGTCAAATAGGGAAGCAGCCAGAGGGGCCTTGGCTGCTCGTAGTAAGAGGTCCTGGGAAGAATGGTCAGGAAGGATTGTTTGGGACAGAGAAATTAGAGGGAATTGGAATGTAATCCATTGGGGGATCAATGGCCACTGAGGTCCCTAGTAGTTCTAAATTTACAATCCTATGGTTAACAGAGCAGGACTATGACAGGATATGTCCCTAGGGCATTATCCTCCCAGAGATCCTCCTCCACAATGGCTTTGATCTTTATGCTAATTATTTCAAGTTATGTATCTAAGAATATAGTTCACACATAGCCATTAATGATGTTTGGAGATTGGGAACTTAGATTTTTAAAAACATTTATTGCATATACATATACCATTATGAATGCTCTGTGATTATACACGTCACCTGAATAGTAAAACTCTGCACTGAGCTAACCTGCTGCCTATCAGAGCTGACCAGAGCCAGTCCATCACCTTACAGACGGTTACATCTCAAAGACAGGATTTGAACCCAAGTACTCCTGACTTCAAAACTGGTTCTTGGTGTCCTACATCTTACTGCTTCTCCCTATGCTGTTTAAACTACAAATTTCAATTAAATTCAGTGAGTGCTTATTAAGTAACTGCTAAAGGAAAAGAATATATGATTCTAATGTCTTGGGAGCTGGGATGACTTGCTTCATGTGATAGGATAGAAGTGAACTTCACTTGCAGCTGCCTAACTGGCATCACCTACCCTTCATTGGGAATTTATACTGAGACAATTCTAATCTTGCAAGTGCTGTCCAAGGTTCCAAGTAGGGGCTGGATGGTGGTTGGCATTTTATGGTTCAATGTCACCTTTGGCCCTGCCATCATAAGCTTCATCACCACCCGATTTTCAGTCTCCTGTTCTGCTGTTCTGTCAAATTAAATGTACTACGTTGTATATTGAAGCCTCCAGGACCTGACACTAACCTGCTCTAGGGGTCACTCTCACACTTAGAAAGTCTCAAACAACTTTCAAAATATTGGAAGGCAGAGAAGAGGCCCTCACATAAACATCCCTATGTGCCTGCATTGTAGCAACCCCCATTAGCCTCTAACCAAATAGTTAATGAATATGTTTTAAAGTCGACAGGATTTCTGTGCACTTGCCCCCTTAGGGCTTGGTGTGTCTTCTCCACCACCATTTATAATTCCTTCTGGATGAGTCGTAAGGCTTTCTTCATATTTTCTATTACTGAAAGGAGAGCAAAGAAAGATTGGACTTCTAACAAATTGAAATATGCATATTCAGTCTCACCTTCCATGTGTACCATTCCAATGTCTAATATAGACTTGTTGACATCAATAATTTATAAACATAGTCATCTAAGGTAGGAAAAAAATAACATGAAGGTATGTTATGTGAGCTCAAGGATTGTGAAACATCATCAAAGGAAACAGGACAATTTGAATGTTGTTGTCACCAGAGCAGGGTCTCCATAGAGTGGATCCTCCATCTATCAAGGTGGGTATTAGTCCCATTTTTTGCAGTTCCTTAAAGCATTGTTCTAGTAGCGGTCAATAGGACCGTAACTAGGGTCTGATGACTAGGGCTTTGTCCAAGGGGTTTCCTAACACCTCCCTGAGAATAACCCCCATCCCATTGCCTGTCTCTTCTCCATCCACTGCCTCATCCCAGTGGCTGAAGGATCTCATTGTTCACCAGACAAGCCATCGGGTTTGGGGCCAGACTCTTTGGGTGATGGGCTACCCTATCTTCCAGCTCCAGTGTATTTGATCAGAGCGGGACATCTTCTTCACTCCCACTCCTTTGCTCTAAATGCCAGATGTTGGTAGGCAACATTCTTTTTTGTAGGCGTGATATTATGTTAGATATTTGTCTTACAAGATTCATCAAACAGTGATCATTGCTAAATATTTGAATCAATTTGCCCAGCAAGATTATATGGCATCTCCTAATCTGTGCAACTTTTAAAATGATCAAGGAATCCCTCTTTCCCCCAAATCTCAAGAGAGTCTGGAGCAGATACTTACACACTGGCAAATCTTGGGGTTCATATGTGTAGAGTCTATTAGAGTATCTCCCGGTGATGTCAGCTCTGACTGTTAAAGAGGGATCTGCTCCAAAGGAATACATATACATACTCAGTACATGTGGTCTGGAGGAATGAGGTGATTTTCTAACAGAACAGAAGCTTCTTGAAAAGATTGCTTCATTTTGTTTTTTGTATACCTAACATAGAACAGTGCCCAGCATATAGTGGGCACTTAATAAATGCTGTTGGACTGAATAATCTCTTAATTTCAAAAACATCATTTCACAGGATGAGAAAGTGCTGGGGGATGGGTGTGTGCCATTATCATTAGAGATGTCGAACACACCTCCAGACAGCAGGCTGCAGGTGGTCCACAATACTTCAGAGTGCAGCCAGAATCAGATTAAAATGTAATTGGGAAATATTTATTAAAATAAATAAAATACAACAAAACATAGATAATTGTTAATATGTAATTTTCTAAATCAATACACTGCCCTCAGGGATCCTTATATCCAGCTTAGTGACCCCCATTTCTATTGAGTTTGACTCTACTGATCTTCACTATTGGAAGGAATAACATAGAATTAGAGCTCGTAGACTTGTAAAGGATCTCAGACACCATCTGGTTGATTCCCATCATCTTCCAGATGAGTGAACTGAGACCCAAACTGTATTTACATTTAATTATGGAAATGTAAGTCAGTGACAAGTGAGCTATTTTTGAGATGGGTAAAGTTAATATCTTTCCACTGGAGATGGAAAGATTCTTGAATTGGCTTTTTCTTTTTCTTTTTTTTTAAGAAGTACAGCACCAAATATTTTAGAAATGCTTGCTTTTAAGCAAGAATGCATATGAAGTTTACACATATGCACATGTGCATACTTACCCACAAACATGATTCGAGGCACATACTGCCCGTCAGGTGATAGGTTCTTGTCAGTGGTTTCATGCTGGTGGGAAGAGAAGAAATCCAGAAAGATTAACTAGGAGCTCACTTAGCAACTTTTGTCTTTCTTTGTATAGCTCATTGTTTTTTTTTTTTTTTAAAGCATAAATGATTCAGGCTTTAAAGTAAACTGGAGTTCTTGACTGAAAATAAAATACACTAAATTAAGTTCAATTTTCCCATCTTACATATGCAAACCAACAACTAGTCTAGGATAATTTATAGTCTGAGAGATTTGTCTGAGAAATAGAAAAAAAGTTGAGTGACTTGCCCAGGGTCACACAGTCTGGATGTGTCAGAGATAGGACCTGAACTTGTTGGCTCTGATGCCAACCCTCTATTCCCCATGCCCCACTGGCTGCATGATTTTGTACATCATTAAAAAAACAAACACGAACACAAAAGCAAAACTCACCATTGGAAATTAACCCAGCACGTAGATTTCACCTACCATGAGGTTGAGCATGACAAAGCTAGTTTGAGCCATTTCCTGGATTTCATCGCTCTTGGCAAAGACTTTCTTTAAGGCTGAAAGGGCAAAAGAACTAGATTTTTTAAAAATATCAGTCTTGTGCAGCCCTGTTCCCCAAAACACCTATTTGATAAGCATAGTTGTTTGATTCTATATCTTGAGAGGAAAGATAGCTCCTCACTACTCTATCTCCTCTTCCCTTCTTTTACCTCCACCTCCCCACCATGCTCCTTAATTTTAGTACCAGTTATAAAAAAGGATGATCTCTTATTTACAAAGCCTGTACCTTCATAATTGCATGCCACAGTAGACCAACATTTTATTATTTCAAGTGAATTATTTTTAGATTTCAATTATTATTTCTTTCTTTTCTCTCTCTTTTTTTTAAATCCCCTATGCTCTTGCTATGAATGAGGTCATCCACTATCAATACGGGTCCTGGGGGCTGGTGATAATTGCCATATGACTCCAGATGTTCCTTCAGCCATCCCTAGTTTTGAGAACACTAAATTCTTTAGCATTCTACTGGGGGCCTTGCTTCTTGCCGTGTGAGGTCCCTAATGTTACCTTGGCAGTACTGACAATCCTCCAGATGATGAATGACCATCAAGGGCTTGTTACTAAACAAAGAAAACACGAGGAACTTCCAGTTAAGGCAAGTACTTTTCTTTGATGCAGGAGAATGTGCAATAACTGTTAGTTTTTTAGAGTCAAACTTAGTAGTAAGGCTTGGTTAACTAATATAGCAACAGAATGTAATCCCCCTGAGGGTAGGGATGTTTAGTTTTTATCTTTGAGTCCCCAGTGTCTAGCAGAGCACTCAGTATATAATAGATGCTCAGTAAATATTTATTTGATTTAATTGAACTGAAAAAAATAAATCAGTAACCCATCTGATTTGCTGAACAAAATCAACACATTCTAAATTAACTGGGAGAAATCTGTTACATTCCCTTCAGAGATAGCCAGGATAATTATGCAAGACACTTATTCTCCAAAGACTACCCCAATTTTGTGTATAATTTTAGGAGTGAGACAGATTTTAGTCTTTTCCAATAACATAGCTAAGCTGATTTTAAAAACAATCAACCAACCATCCAATCATCAAGCATTTATTAAGCACCTACTAGGTGCCAGGTACTGTGCTAAGTGCTGGGGTTACAAATACAGGAGTGAAACAATTCTCACTCTCAAGGAACTCATTCCATCAAAGAAGATGACAGGTACACAAATAAATATATACATAGGTACATAAATGAGTACATAGATATGGACACAAATAAATGTGCAGCATGAAGGCAAGGCAACTAAATGTGAGGTAGTTGGGGAGAGAGGGCACTAGCAATTGTGTGGAATCAAAAAAAGATCAATGGAGAAAATGGTAACTGAGCTGGATTTGGAAGGAAGTGAGGGATTTTATACTCAGAGGTGAAGAGGGAGTGTATTCCAGGCTTGGGGGACTGCTAGTGCGATGGTGCAGAGATGGAAGGTGGAGTTGCCTGTGTGAGAAATAGAATGAAGGCCAGTTTATCTGGATTGTAGAGTGGAGAAGAATGACAAGGGATTGTTGGTGTCTGCCCTTTCAGTTGGAGATTCTGTTAAGTTTCCATTTGCAGTTGGATGAGTGATACCTGCTTGGTGACCCCTTTATCTTTCCATTCATTCTGCAGAAATGGAGAAAATGTCCAATTGCTTGAACACTGTATAAACTAGACAGTCTCTAAGACAGTGTTCCACTTTTGTGACCTGCAGGTACTTAAATTCTTAGTGGAAACATGAGTGGCAGAATGGAAACAATGCAATAAACTGATGAAGGTCAGGTAGCTGGTGCTCTTGACAGATTCAATTTCATCTGCTTGGCCCTATACGACCCTCCAAGGACCAACAGATGGGAGCTGCAGGGAAGCAGATATCAATTCATTACAAGGGAAAACTTCCCAGAATCACAGAATTTCCGAGTGGGAAGGGATGGCAGAAATCTCTAACCTGAGTGTAGGTCACCAGTGATCTCCTCTCTGGCAATCCCAACGAGAGGGCCAGCCTCCAAGCTTTTTTCCCTCACTCTCACTGAGAAGCCACTGCCCCTACAAGGCAGCACATTCCACTTCTGAACAACCATTTCTAGGGAATGTTCATGTCCATCAAGCCACAACTGGACTCTTCCACCACTAACCCCTGTTCCTCCTCTGTCCTCTGGGGTCCAGCCCACCAATCCCTCTTTCTCTTGGCAGATTTTAGAGTACAGTTATCTCTTATACATCACAGGGGGTTAGAGGCATGGCACCCCTCGATCTGGAAAATCCACATAAAATTTTTTGGCCTTCCCTTTGTAGCATAGAAATCTGAATTATTATCATGTTAAAAGATAAAATATGTCATTATGCAATACTATACATGTATTTCTGAGTTTCTAAACTTTTTTTGTTGTCTGCTAGCCTTTGTGTATCATTTGCGGCTTCTGCAAAACATCTCCCAAATTCCCATTTAATTTCTTATGCCTATTGTGATATGTCAAAACCACGAGGGGGAAAGTCATGATGTGGAAGGTATAACTGTGCTTTATGACAGCTATCCCACCCCTTTCCCATCCTCACAACAAGCCTTGTCTTCTCCAGACTAAACATCCCAAGTACCTTTGGCTCATTCTTATTTTGCATGAGCTAGAGGCCCTTCATTATCCTAGTCACCGTCCCCTAATCTTTTCCCATTTTATCGATCTCCTTTTTAAAATGTGGTTTCCAGAACTGAGCACAGTACACTATATGATGTTGGACCAGGGCAAAGTGCAATGGCCCCACTGCTTCCTTATTCCTAAAAGCTAGTGCCTCTCTGAAAGCAAATTATTACTTTTATTGGTTGCCATGTCATACCATTGGCTTATATTGAGTTTGGAGGCCACGATCCTTTTTTTTTTTCAATATGAAATGCTTCTTAACCACGGCTCCCTGGATTGTACTTGGGAAGTTGATTTCTTGGACCCAACTGTCAGATTTTACATTTTTATCCCTTATTATTGTTACTGTCTAGAACTGAGGTGGCCTGCCTTGAGAGTTCCCTTTGATATATGTGGTGGGTTTCTGGGAGAGACTTTTGGGGGATTCCGTGGTCAGGGATTACTATTTCAATAAAGAATTGAACTGGATGACCTCTGAGTATGGATTTGAGGGTAAATATTTAACAATTGCACATGGCACATTTTTATGTTTAATCTGCTTTCTTAACATTTTCTGCATCACCTTCTTAAGTCTAGACAATCACAAGAACAATGATTAATCCTTGATTGGACAATTTACAAGGTGTAAATATTCACGTTGAGAATTTAACTATGGAAGCTGGTTAGAACCTGCTTCCAGCCCACCCTAACTTCTGTGGTTCCTTCCCAGATCAGGAAGGAATCAACATACTTATTTGGTGCCCCGGTTTTCATTCTGTCATTTAACACCAATTATCAAAATAAATATAAATGTCTTAGACTTATCTTGCACACTATATATTGATGAGCATTATATTCCCCATGAAAATAGTAAAAATGCCTTCTGGTACTGATCAGATATGTGTGGAGAACAAAGTAACCCAAGTGGGGACAGGCTCTGCTTTAAGAAGCTGTTTCTGGAAGGTGGAGGGAGAAAAAGTGTTTGAACTGGAAGGCTCTTACAATGACAGAATCCAGAATTCCCATTTTATAGATGAAGAAACAGAAGCCTGAGGCAGTGGGGTGACTTCTTCAGAATCACAGTTAGGAAAAGCTGGGGCTTCAGTTCTGGCTCTCAGCCCTGAACTACTCATGTGTGTCTGTGTGTATGTGTATGCATATATATGTGCATATGCACACACATATGTGCTATCCCCTCTGGGCGCACTCCCACTCTAAGGACTGGGCACCTCTCTTTCTCTCTCTTTTTTCTCCCCCCCTCTCTATTTCTCCCTCTCCCCTCTATCTTTCTCTTTCTTCCCCCTCTTTCTTTCTATTTCTCTCCCTCTGTTTGTCTGTCTCTTTCTCTCCCCCATCTCTCTTTCTCTCCCCCTCTCTATTTCTCTCTCCCCCTCTCTCTTTCTCTTTGTCTCTCTCTCTTTCTCTATCACCTCTTTTTCTCTATTTCTCTCCCCCTTGTCTGTCTGTCTTTCTTTCTCTCCCCTCTCTTTCTTTCTTCCCCCTCTGTTTCTCTCTCCCCCCTCTCTCTTTCTATTTCTCTTCCCCTGTCTGTCTCTGTGTGCCTGCCTGTCTGTGTCTCTCACAGACACAGACACACACAGACACAGACACACACACAGACACACACACACACACACACACACACAGACACACACACTTTTAGACTAGACCTGAGATTTAGTTGTCATAGGAATTCTCACCAGGAATCCACCCTGCTTTGCAACTAATGGTCCTAGAGAATTTCTCAGGGTGTGGAGAGGCCACTTGGCTCCCCGCCTCATGTAGCAAGAGGTAAGACTTGCTCAGTCCCTTCTCTGAAGCAGCTTTGTAGCCTCTGTTTCACACTGTCTCGAATATAAATATATACAAGATAATTTTGTTGTTGTGGTTGAGAGGCTGGGAGTGGGGTAGAACTAGCAGTTGGAAGGGTCAGGAGGGCTCAGGTTGCCTTAGAGTTAGTGGCCTGGGATATTTCCAAACCAGTTTAGAATGGGTTCTTTACCTCTTCTTGGCTTGGAAGAGCCCTTCTTCATAAGTCTGCACCCAAGTGATGTCATCACCCCATCCTGAAGCAGAAATAGAAAATACATTGAACAAGTAATTACTATGGACTAATAATGTTAGTAAGAGTAAGTCATACTTATACAACATTTTATGGCCACAAAACCATACACACACACACACACACACACACACACACACACACACACACACACACTGATTTCCTTTGATCCTCCAGGCACTGGGGTATGGTGACCTTAGTCTATGAGGCAGAAGATTTGGGTTGATTTTGCTTTTATGTGGCCCTAAGCAAAATGCATTTCTGCTCTGGGCTTCAGTTTGCTCATCTCTTAAGAGGATTGATAAGTCTAGCACTGCTTAGCCATAGGTTTGTTTTCAGCCTTGAGAGGAGAGAGAAATGTGAATAACTAACAAACCAGCGAAGTAGGTGACAAAAGTATTATTGTATCATGCTGTGAGACCTTGGGAAAGTCACTCACCTCCCTCCCTCCTGGGCTGCATCATCTGTAAAATGAGGAGGTTAACCTATATGGTCTCTGAGATTCCTTTCAGGTCTCTCAGTGTTATCACCTGAGCATTTTCAAGGTGTGAGTGAGTTGACCACACAGCTGGTGGAAGGGGCAGACCTTGGACTCCAGTCTAGGTCTTCCCAGGGCTCTTTGCACCATCCATCTTGACTTCTGTGCTGTAAGTGTGTGATAAGTGGTTGGGAAAGTCAAACTACTGGATTCCTAGGTGGCTCTGTGGTCTCACCAATGTGACCCTCCACTAGGTCCAGTGGAAACCTGTCCATATCTTCTCTCTTCTCTTCTTCTCATGTGATCAGTAACAGTCTTCTCTCTCTCTCTCTCTCTCTGTATATACATATATATATGTATATATGTATATATATATATATATATATTCTTCCCTTCACTTTTGTCTCTCTCTGACCTATCTCTCCATCTCTGTCTTTCTGTCTCTGTCTCTCCACCTCTTTCTGTCTCTCTCACTGTCTCCTCTCTCCCATCCTCTGTCTCTGTCTGTCTCTGTTTCTCTCCCTACTTCTGTCTGTCTCTGTTTCTCTCTCTATCTATGTCTCTCTCTCTCCATCTCTGTCTTTCTGTCTCTGTCTGTCTCTTTGCCTACTTCTGTCTGTCTGTATCTGTCTCTCTATCTCTGTCTTTCTGTCTCTCTCTTTGTCTCCTTTCTCCCTCCCTCTGTCTCTGTCTGTCTCTATCTCTCTGTGTCCCTTTCCCTTTCACCACTTTTCTGTATCTGTCTCTTTTGGTCCTAAGTGTCCTTGATGATTGCCATGCTATTTCTTATATAAAGTCATCATGGGTAATACTCTTCCAGTATTTTTCTTTATTTTGTCTAGACCTGGGGTTTCAATAACATCAGATCCTCTCAGATGACAAAACTCCCTCTACCATGCAGATTGACACTGACTCTGCAACATATGTAGTCTTAGTTGGCTGGGGCAGTGAGAAATCAGATGACTCTTCCAGGGTCATACATCCGGTATGTATGTGAATTTGAGTCCTGGTCTTCCTGACTCAGAAGCCTCTCTTCATCCACCAGGGTATACAGCCTCATCTGTTTCTACTCTGTTACTAATCAGAGCTCGTGTTGGGCTGATCAGCCTCAGTTGGACATGCTGTACCTTGGTTCCAACATGGCGATGTCATTTTGGTTCTCTTTGAGAACGACAGACATCAACCAACCAATTACTGACTGACACGTGTGTTTAGGTCTCAGTCAAAGGTGGGGAGGGCTTGTTGCTTCGATGAGACACACAGCTTGATGATTCTCTCCGTTTGCAGCACTTATGGTGCTTCACACACAACAGGCACTGGCTAGTTTGGCGTCAATTATGTTTGGTTGAGATTCAGGTGGCATTTACGCCCTGCAGGGAAAGCTTTCTCTTTTATACCCAATTTGTACCCCTGCAATCTGAGTCAGCCTGAAGCTTCCAAGGTCCAGATGGTCACTGTTGGCTGAAGCTTCATAGAAATCCACAGGACCATGGGGTCATAGACAAGGAGCAAGACGGGAACTTGGAGACCACCAGTTCAACTCACTCATTTTCTAGATGAAAAAACTGAAGCCCAGAAAGCCAAGTGGCTTGTCTGTGGTCATACAGCTGATAAGCACTTGAGGCAGAATGTGAATCCAGGTCATCCTGACACCATAGTGCCACTAGGGCAGCCCTGGTCCAGACTTCCCATTTCTCTGGTACTTCAGGACCTGGGCTCCAGTTTCCTCATCAACTTTTTTTCTAGTGTCTCTGCCCATGATCACAATTCAGGCACCATCTCCAGGCCCACCTGTGCCTTCATTTTTGTAACTTCTCTGATCCTCTGTCAGTTCTTTCTTTGCTCAAGGAGGACCAACCATTGGCACAACTGAAGCACAGAAGAAGTGTCACTTTGATTCCTGTCCTCCCTTCCACGGGTTATTCTCTTGCCCACTTTCAACATCCTCTCCACTCCCTTCCCCGTTACGTGTCCTCATGCAGCCCCCGACTGCCCAAGTCTCTTCCAAAGCCTGCATCCCCCAGGCTCCAGCATCATCTCTTGCATCCCATTCCAATACTTCCAAGTCCTGCTCTTGACTGCCTAGCAGTCAAGGTGGCAATGAGTACAGGAATGACTACCAGAGCAACAGTTCTCCGAGGTCATATATCTTTACCCATCACAGATACCTGACTGCTTAAAGAGATCCTTGGCAAGTGACATCCCAGGTGGACATGGCTTATGCCTGAGATGTTTGGCTATTTAGAATATTTTGTCTAATTAGGATGTGGATGAAAAATGAGACAATTAAAAAAACCTTCCCTTCCTCCTCCCCCAATTGGCTGAAGAGTTTAGAGAAACAGATGTCATACACACAACCTCTGGAGAGGGTCTGAGGAGCTCTCTTGTCCTTCAGGACAGCCATGGTGAGGTTGGCAGAGACAGCCACGAGCAGGAGAAAGAAGGACACAGCTGACTGTGGCATCATTTCTTCCAGAGGAACGCCAGGACCAAGAGGCTGAGTCTGCCCCGCCACAGGAAGGATGATGCAAGGGCTGAAGGTCACCCCTTTAAAAGAGACCACTTTGTCACTTCGGCATTCAATCAACTAGTCAATCAATGTCAACAAGTATTTATTAAGCACCTACTATATTCCAGGCACTGTGCTAAACGGCAGATACAAAGAAAATGCACCAACACTATCTCTCTCTATCTCTCAGCAACAGCCCCTAAGAGCTCTCGGTCTGATTTGGGAAACATGTCTACTTAGTTATATACCCCAAAAATCATCCCGAGCAGATACAAGGTAATGGGAGGGATGTGTGTGTTACAAGGGAGCTGGGAGGACCAGGAATAACCTCATGTAGAAAGTGTTGATCTGAGTTTTGGAGAAATTCCGGGCATGAGATACAGCCAGTGCAAAGGCATGGAGATGAGAATGGAATGTGGTGCATGACCCATAGCAAGAAGGTCCATTTGAACTGTTTTAGGCACTGAGGATTCAAAGGCAAACACAAAGAGGCTGGCTCTGCCTTCAGGGGATTACTTCCTTCGAATGAAGGGAGATGACTTATACACATATACAGAGCTAGAAAATATAGACAAAATAAAGGCTTTCAGAAATAGGACTTTGTCAGGAAGCTCCTCGTGACAGACAAATTAGGAACTGAGTTGAGGAGAAGGAGCAAACACTATGGAGTATTTTAAAAAGTAGAAGAAATTCAGGGTGGTGGTGGTAGTTGTGGTGGTGATGGTGGTGGTGGTGGTGAAGAGAAATCTTCCCTCATTGCATTCACTTATAGCTTTGACAGACACCCACTCATTTTCTATTTTCTATTTCTCCTGCTGGTCACTTCAGGGCAATCTTTTCAAGTATGAGGAAACCTTTATATTGACCAGAATTTTTAAAGACCCCCCTTGAGACAGATAGCATCACAGGGATCTCAGTGTTGGTAGGAACCTGAGTGTCCTCTACTCAAAGCCACACCTAAAATTACCCTCTCTCCAACAAGGCATCATCCTCCTTGGGCTTACAGACCTGCCTCTATAGCCCCCTCCTTCCCATCTCTTCCCCCCACCTTGTGAAGTTGAACCTATGATCTTCTGAGCCAGCTCATTTCACTTTGGGAGAGCTCAAAGTATTATCACTTAAACAAACAAACAAACAAACAAACAAACTACCTTAAGCCTAGATTTGTCTCTTTGTGACTTTCCCTCCTTACTGTTGTTTCTGCCTTCTGGGACAGAACAGAAGAACTCTCATCTCACCTCCAAATAATTGAAGACAGTTAGTTTCCATGCCTCTCCCCACCCCAGACCAAGCATTTTCTTCTTCAGGCTAAACAGATCCTGTTTCTTCAACTAATCCTAACAAGGTGTGTTCTCAATGCTCTTTAGTAGCCCTGTTGACCTCCAAGTAACCATGCCCTTCCTAATCTTTGGTGACTAAAATGATCACAGCATCACAGATGTGGTGTGCTAAGGGCAGAAGAGAGTGCTGACACTATTATCACCTATTTGTGTTTGGACCCTCTGCCTTTCCTCTCAAATCCCAAGAAGAAAATGACTTTTGTTTCTGCCTTATTTATTGATACTGAGCTTGAAGTCCACGTACACCCCCAAATCTCTCTCAGACAAATTCTTCTCCAGCCATGACTCGCTTGTCCTGTAATTGTGTGGCTATTTAAAAAAATGAGGGTGACTCTACATTTATTTTGATTACACTGCATCTTGTTTGATCTAGTCCACCATTTTTCACCTTTAAAAAAATTCATTTCTATTTTCTGAGTTCTCATGTGATTCTGCTGCCCACCCACAGATAATGTGAAGCAAGGAAAGTTGTTAGTCGAGTCTGATGGCCAATCATTATGCGCTTAGCTTCCTGGATTAGAGAGGACCCACCACCTCCAACTCCACTTAGATTCTTACCTTGTATCTTCTTCTTTGCATGACTTGTTTATGCAGCATTCAAGAGAAGCAAAGGTAGCTAGTCCCCTGTGGATGGGGAGGATGCTTATATTTCATTTACAAGCTATTTCCCTTAAACAATTTGACAAAGCCCCTCTTCCATTCAAACACCAAATATTAAATACAGTATAGTTTGACCCCTGAATAAAAAGCCTGGAAACTTTTGCTTACCTTAACCGATCAGGGCTCCTGGTAGATTTTTTTTTTTCTCCTAAAAGTGCCCACTCCAGGATGGGTGAGGATTTATAGACACAAAAGAAACACCTGACTCACAATCCCACCTACCCGGTGAGAAGGCCAGATTCACCTGCAAAGTTCCAGAATGTGACTTGTCTGGGAATCTTTGTGCCCTTCTCCTGGTTTCTCATGCCTCCCTATGGAGAGCTTGCCTTTCTCCCTCTTAACTCAGATCAGGTGTCATCTCATTAGAAAGCCAGCTCTCTGCTTTTGGTCTCCTCCCCCCCCCAACCCTGGAGCTCAAACAGCCTCTTTGGCTGGAGTTCAATGAAAAAAGAAACCATCAGTTGAATGATGGGCCTCTCTGAATGCCATTGTTCCTGGGAATGGGTAAGCTCAGTAGGCTTTGGAGACTGGCTCGAAAGTGAATTAATCTGAGTAACTCTGCTCCAAGGGATGCGATGAATAACTGCAGGCAGCAATTTCTTTGACAGATTAAAAAAATATTACTTTAGGAATCAAAAAAGTTTCCTAATTCTTCAACTGTATATAATAGACATGGGGCAATATCTGTGGACTGTTCGGAGCTCATTTCTCACCTTCCTTAGAGGAGAGTGAATTACTGGGTTATAATTATTTTTTTCTCTCTGATTCTCACAGAGACACATGTAGTCCAGGGGAGAGAGTGCTGGCCTTGGTGCCATCCCTGTACCCTCGCCAGTCCTGGACGCTGGAGAGAGTTACACAAGCAGAAAGTATTTTCAGAGGATGAAGAAGACAGAAACTAAGACCCAGGGATTCTACTGGGAAATTAGAGATGTTGCGATGTTGGCATATTGGAGAGTGAAAAAGGAAAGAGAGAGAGTGGGGAAAAGGAGAGGAAGAAAGAGGGAGGGAGAGGAAGAAAGGGGGAGGGAGAGGAGAAGGGAGAAAGTGAAAAAGAGTTGAAGAGAGGGAGGGAATGAGAAAGAGGGAAGAAGAGAGGATGGAGGAAGTGAGGGAGAAGGGGAGAGAAGAAGTGGAGATGGAGAGAGGGAGGAGAGAGTGGGCAGACAAGGACATGGAGGGGGAAGGAAGAGGAGTGGGGGAGACAGGGAAAGAGGGGAGAGAAGAAGTGAAAGGGGAAGAAGAAAAGGAGGTAGAAGATGGGAGAAAGAACTGATGGTACCAGTAAAATCATAGGTTCAGACCAAAACAAAATAAAATAAAATGTATAAATTTTTATAACTCGAGTCCCTCTCTCTAAACTTCTCTCAGGGTGTTTTTGGCAATTTATTCTAGTCACAATTTTTCTTTTATGACCATAGAATAAACATGGTGACTTCTGGTAGAATTTCTGGTTTTACTTTTTTCATGTTGTTTGACTTGATTTCATAAAGGTTTTTGGAAAATTCTTTATATATTTCATACCTGCTAGTGGGAATTGCATTGCTATATTCCATAATATTAATCTACCACAATGTATTTACCCATTCTCCTATTGTTGAACATTAGATTACTTTCAGTTTTTTTTTGGGGGGGGAAGGTGATGGTATTTTTCAGTGATAAATATTGCTACTCTAAAAAATCTTTATACAAATTGCTTCCATTTTGGCTCTGCTTTTGGTAACTCTCAGTCTATGATAACGGAATAAAACCATTATATACAAATTGTGATTATTTTTATACTTCCCACTATATATTCCACCCAATTGTTCTCCAAAAAAGATTGCACAAGTTCCTATTTGACCAGCAGTGAATGAGTGGATTTGTGTGAGTCTTGCATGGCGGAGCTGCATAATGATTAGTGTACGGTGCCACCCGGCACACAGTAGGGGCTCAATAATGCTTATTCTATTGGAGTCCCTGAAATACTCAAACCTTGAATTTTCCTGCTTTTAGTTATTGTGGGCAATTTAATGGGTATAATTTGTATCTCTGATTGTTACTGAGGCGGAAAATGTTTTTAAGTATTTGTTGTTGCTGTTCAGTCATTTTCAATTGTGTCTGACTCTCCGTGACCCCATTTGGGTTTTCATGGTAAAGATACTGGAGGGGTTTGCCATTTCCTTCTCCAGCTCATTTTACAAATGAAGAAACTGAGGCACACACGGTGAAGTGACTTGCCCAGGGTCACTCAGCTAGTAAGTGTCAAGAGGCTGAATTTGAACTCAGGAAGACGGGTCTTCTTGGAGCTCTATCTACTCTGCCTCCATTTGCATTTTCTCTTCTGAACACTGTCCATACCAACCTCTTTTATTTTATTGCATCTGATACACATAAAGGTGAAGGTGAGGCTGGCCAATTCCCCAGGGGCTTAATCAGTCAGCCTGGCTTTGGGGGAGCAGACAGTCCTTGGAAGCTGAGTTCTTGGAATTAGGAGTATCCTCTCACAACCCAAAATCAGGTATCACTACTTTCAAAGAGAAAGGGAGAAACAGGAAGCCAGGGGACTGAACCAGGAACAGAAGCTGGGGAAAATAAACAATGTAGGAAAAGAGGAGGGTGGGCAGCCACTGGAAGTCAAGAGCCAAAGCAGCTTTTTGCCTTTTCTCTGATGGCCTTAGAAAATATTTACTCCTTCCATGTATGTGTGGATATTAATTTGTATTTGCTCTGGACTGTATTTCTTTGCTCTTCTTTCTCATCTTTGTCCCCTCATTCAATTCAACAAACTCTTGTGAAATACCTCGTACATAGCAGACCCTGGGAACCAGTGACAAAAATGAGACAGTGCCTGTCCTCAGGGAGCTTCCATTCTAGTAATGGGACACAACACGCCCTCAAGGAAGCAAATACATCCTATGTGTGAGGTGTTACAAAACTGTTAAAGAGTGAGAGCCTGTGGAGAACTGGGGAGATCATGGAAGGCCT